AGCGTGGTCACGTGCTTTCACTCTTCTGATTTCGCTCGCGCTTGCAGCGGTCATCCGCGAGTCTCATGTACTAACTCTGGTACCAAAGCATTTCAGATCATCTTCGGACTCCAGTATAAGTGAGAACTGTTCAGAAGAAGACCTCAGGACAACCGTGATTGGATTATTGTTAATTCGCTGACCTGGGCCAACGACGAACTATTTTAAAGAGAACAATTGTTAGTGAGTCTGTTCCATCTGATCTCTTTATTTTTGTATACCCAACCTAGCGTAATTATTTTTATCTCTTTGCCACACATTCCTGGTAACGTGACATATCGGTTAGCCAGACCAATACACGCGTTAGTCAAACCTTATCCAGAGCCTGATCAATAAAAGTAGTCTGAATAGCAATCACGTGAGTAAGACGCTATCAAACCAAATTGTTTTTGGGACCCCAGCTACTGTATTTGAGTCGATTCATTGATTTTTTCCTTGTTTGTTCCAGAATATATTTCACGTAGCTGTTTGGTATGTTACTGCCACTAATCCAGTCAGACTCTTGGCTTGTTCCGGGGAAGACACAGTAAATATTGAAGGATAGGGTCCTGTGAAAAAGTGTACTTTTTTCCTTCATACCTTCCAGACACCCGGTCTGATACCATCAAGCGCGTACTGAATTCCGGTATTTTGAAAACCCAGTAGCAAATATCATGCACACTCGTTTGTTACGGCACGTTCATTGACAGCCACTGTCAGGATGCGCTTCAAATAGACCCTTGGTTTCCTCAAAACGGATTCATCCATATTTTTTATTCTTTTTGTTTAAGAACGGAATTATTCACATTTTTTCGAAATTCTCTGCCTGTGATCAGCCTTACTTAGTATGTCGGTTGTTTGCGGTTGGAAAGTCATTTTACCCCGGAGTCAGCGCTGTTGGCAAAGGTTAGTTTATCCAAGCCATCGAGTCGGTAGATTCAGCCACCTATTGTATGTCCTCAGACCATCTGCCTTAGTCAGATCTGTGTGCACTCAAAGAACTTTTAGAAGAAGAAGAGGACTTGTGTGACAGTTTTATCTAGAAAACATTTTATTTGATTTTGACGTTCGTAGAAGCAGTTCCAGTTGTGCCTGTTTGATAAAAATCCTTTGAGAGAAGTTTCAACTTTTACTACATATAATAGAGAATTCTCCAAAAGTCAAATAGAACAAAAGAGATAGACTCAGACTGCCAAAAATTAAGGACATCTTGATAAGACTCCATTCTTGATTGTTGCTGACAAGGTGAAAACGGATGGTATCCTGGTGGAATCCGTAATGAATTAACCAAGAAAATGAATGGTACCAAGCTCTTCACTCAAAATTTCTCATTGTCAACTGCGATTTGAAGATCCTGAATATACTTTCGTCCACGATGGCGGATCACGTGACATAGCAATCAATATTGGTCGCACTTCTAGTTGGGGATATTCTAGCCTGTACCAATTCTGATAGGAGTTTGAACTATCCCATTCGCTTGCTCGTGGCCGACCGGCTGCTTGATTGATTCGCAGATAGACAGGGTAAGTAGTATTGATTTTTTTTCCTACCAATCAGGTGGGCCATTTTGAGTTGCGCGCAAAGTCCCAAAAGTCAAATCGTATTGTGGTGCCATGAGTACAAGGCTGATAAAATCAAACAAAAAGAATGAAGAAAACTGTAAAAAAGAACCCAAACTGTTGGAGTGCGCCGGCATAACTAATGCCAATTCCAGATAGGATCTTGCACAAATAGGTGGACCGAAAACAATACGTTCACCAAAAATTTAGCACCCACTGAAGACAAAGTGGTTGTAAGATGGTAGGACCTATGCGCGATCATAAGGTAGCAGTTTTTACATCACAAGATAAGGGGTATGAGTGGAAAAGGAAGAAACAAAGCGGGGAATGCAATGGTACATAAGAATAATAAAAAACGCTCGACAAGTAGACCACATTTTGCCGGTGATTGCTAAGGCCTTGGAGCACCGCCTCAGGCAGACAGGCAAGTACTGATTATGTAATGCCTTTTACTCCACAGGGTTGAACCAGTATTTCACTTCAAAATTATCCTGCAAAAGCTTTTCACCACCGAGGTACCGCAGAAAATGTAGCACAGATATAAGAAGGACTCAAGAAAGGGGCTGTTCGATCCCGGGTGTTTTTGGCGATTCTTTTTAATTAGCTTGGATTAACTTACTCCGAATGGATTAACATTTCGATCACCGGAGATCTGGAATGCCAGGAAGATAGAATTATTCTTCGTGTGGTGATTCAACGGAATACGGAACTACGGAATCTCCTATTTTGAACTGTGAGTCAAGATTTAATTGGAGTTTTCTCCTCGTGACTTTGTATCTGGCTTACATTAGTAATTTGCTCTGTTCACTAGGGACTCCATAGGGCCGTTAACCACTACGGAATCATCGGGACGTCTTGTAAGAACCGCATGTGTCCTGTCAATTCACGTTCTCTTTCACAGAACTCAACTATGAGAAGAAGAAGAACCAATGGGAGAATTTTCAGTGTTGAGCTGATTAACCAATGACACGATGACACCACAGCGTCTTGTTCGCTGGCCTCACGGTTTAGATATATAGTCCACTGTAGCCCAATTAGGCATCTGAGCTATACGAGAATTGTGGACAAGCCTGCAATGTTTTTAGCTTCAGTGCTTTTGCTGGTGCTTTTATACCCTGGACTGGGTACGTTAACTCATTTTTCGCCTCTATTAGTATTATTTTGCCTTGCCATGTTATATCTCTCCTGAAAAACTCTACGTTCCTATTTGTTCAGAAAGTGTGACTTTTGAAAAAGGTAAGTGGAAAGATAGTCTGTGTGTTTTTTATCCATGTGAAGGAGTGAATACTTTGATGATGGAACGACTTTGGTAAAGACCGAGATTGAATCAGTGATGAATAGGTTCTGGTAATTCAAAGCTCCCAATAATTCAAATGTTGCGCATTGTATGGCATTATTGGTTAATCATCGATTATCGTTCAAAACATTCTTGATTCTGGTGAATAACCTAATCGTTTAACCGGGCATAGTTGAGTTTACATCAAACGTACGCCTTGGTTTATCGTCCTCTGGGAATCTCACGTTTGAGGCTTGGGCATTTTATTGATTTATTTGAGGAAGGATACGGCTGCACTACTTAGAATCCTTCACTAGCTCTCTTTTCTCGCAAAAGGGAATGTCCCAGTCTCATTTGAGACACGGATTTATCTATATTCGTCTAGACTTAAATGATGTTTGATAAACAACCTCAGAGGCGGGATCGTGAAAAAAATCATTCACTTGTTTGGACTTTATATGTGTCAAAAGAACATTTATACCCCACCTTTGGGCTAGTAACGACACACATCTTTATGTGATCGCGCTGTGTCTGAAAAATGTGAGTATATAATAGTTCTGAATGAGTATGATATTCAATATGCGAATGTATTGACTGAGAAAAGGTAGACGGAATAGAAAACAGTCGTTGCTATGGCGTGTAGCATACTGGCTAAGAGAGCAGCACTCCCTATGTGAGGACGGAGTCTAATGTCTCTTTACCTAGTATCATCCCTTAAAGGTCTCTTTTAGCAAGACCCCACGGAAAAAAGACCAGATTACCTTTTCCATAAATCAATTATTCCATTTACAAACACGAGAGAAGACCTATATTGACATAATTAGAAGTCTGTCTAACCTTCTTCTCAAACTCATAGTGTAAAACTTCTCTAAGGTTGGCTTAAATTACATGAAAAATGATTTTTTAAACAGAACCTTGGTGAATCAGACACTATTCTTCTTGACATATGTCACTAACCGCGCAAGATTTTGATAGAACGATCAAAATGGATGGGACTTTGAATACAGATTGTTATCGTTCTTTTTGACATTTTAGGACGAGGCTTCAAGGAGTGTGAAGTTCTAGAGATCAGTGGGTCACTTTTATATCAATATATTTTATACGAATCTGTTTTTGTTGATAAATTGTAAGGATATATTATTCTTCGAAAACACCCGCCTGGTTATGAATCGAGGGGAACATAATTGGCAGTCTCACGAGTTCCTCGGCTTCAACACGAGGACGATTAGCTCCACCAGCAAAAAGCAAAAACAAAGTGTGATACTCTAGTTAGCGGAGCCTAAATGAGCGCCTGTCGAAGGTCACTGTCTAATGTGTGATCCTTAGACAGGAAGTCTCAGATGGGGCTCAGAGTCAGGCTCTCCAGTTAAGCTCTATCTTGGAGAAATTACTGTTTTGTTCTAATAAATTTGTGAACATGACAGACGGTAAATTTACAACTGCATGACTCCTCCTAGCTCATCAGGGGAGCACACTCCCCTAGTTTTAGTCAACCTTGTGTTCTACTTGAGCCCAAGGTGGGCGGATATTAAAACAAATACACTCATTTGCACATCAATTTAGCTTTCACGAGAGATTCAACCGAATCTCTCCATTTCAGTATTTTTTGAGACTGTGTCTGCATGATGAGCCTCAGCAAGGGCATGGCCTATCAAGGAGTTTTCAGCAACCTTGTGAGAAGTCTCCTTCAGAAAATATACGCTATCTTGAATATCATACCAACTGAAACATGAGGCTGCCTGTGTGCAGCACATTCAGCTGAAGGACACCTAAACGAGAGATTCAGTTGAGTCTACGAAATTCATACGCAAACGAGTCCTAATTCAGTGACAGAGTTTTCAACATTTCGAGGCCCGGTTTTTAACAGAAAATAGTCAATAATTGTTTTTTTCAAAAGAGGTTTTGTCATTTAAGTGAAGCGAATCTCCACTTAAATGCGGAGAAGCACCGTACATCTATTTTGTATTTATCGCCCAGAGCTGCGGGTTGGTACCAACCCATGACCTCCTCGATAGTAGTTTGTTCTAGACTCGAATGGATTTTCTTGAGATACCAGGAACTTCTAAGCTCCAAGTCGTGCGGGTAGTCTTTCTGAAATTACAGTTCACAATGTTTCCATTGAAGTGTGGAAAAGTGTGCATGTGATTGGGGTGTAAATTCATTGGGTTGGAGTGGATCGTGTTCACATGATCCAATATAAGCTTATAAGAATTTGAGTCACTGAAAGGCATAAGCAAACATGTTTTCCAGATCCCGCCCTCATTATTGTATCATATAACCTGATGACTTAAGTCGTCATCGGTTTCTTCAGCGTCAGACCCATTGTTTTCTGCGATTATTGTATGCGTGCAAAATTCACCCACGCGAACTTTTGACCCTTAACATTTTCACGCGCCCTTTTTGACCTATTGCGTTACCACGTGCTGGGCCCGCAGGTCTGTCGGTAATTCACATCCAGTTGCTGTTCTTGCCGGGCTTTCTTTGGATTTGCACCAATTTGTGCAACGAATAGACGGGAATCCCCATAGTTCGGGGTTTGTGTCCTTTTCATATACAAATTTCGTTAGAGTGGTATAGTATCCTGCTGATAAATCTCAAGGCTCCGTAATTCGTGATTTGTTGTTTCCCGCCTCACTCAGATGTGCTTCCCGGAACGAGCCACTGGCAATTGTGTACTGTCAATGATGATGATGATGATGATGATGATGGTAATAACGCAAGAAGCAGTCCTCTTCCCTTCCTGAGAGGGAGAAGTTGGTTGGCATGGGACTGCAGTTTCTCTCGTCAACTTTGAATATCATACATCGTCTGTTTGTCAGTTAATCGTTCCTTTCTGACAAGCGTGGGAAATTTGCTCGACAGATTAATGCCGGGAACCCACACTATCGACCACACCGACAAGGAATAAATAAATACCTTGAAAGTCTTGTTTTTGTTCACGAGGAAATATTTTCTGCAAATGTACTAAGCGAAAATTTGGTTCCACAGTCGACTTACCTTCGGATCTTCGTAAGTGTTTGATATTATTCGAGTGTGTTTAACCATGATAAATAATAACACAAAATTATCTTCACATTCATCTGATGGAATAATTGCGGTGAATCGTTTCGTTCATAAAGCCAAAAGTTCGACTCTATGGCTCAATTATTCTATGGCATTCCCAGCTCTGTTCCAGGGTTCATGATACTTGGTAATCTTTCGAATTTTCACAACATCGATCTGTTTTATCGACCGAATTTGCGTGCGTGTGAGAGAGAAAAATTGTCGTTCACTGATACGTCTATCGTATTAACCACGGCTTTGCGTACACACAAGTGATCTGAACTTGGAACGAAGTGTGAACCGCGACGCAACTTATATACAACTCTGCAGATTTGCCATGGTCGTGGCAACTTACTGCGATTCTACCCAACCCATCGACTCACCGCTGGTGATGAACCGTTGCAACCTAGCCGCCGAAATTGGCGGGCAGACCAACAGTTAAGTGAATGCGATCGTTGTATCAGCTACCTACAGCCAAAGTGAAGCATCAGCGCCAACACCGATGTTACTGTCCTTGATCATGATGATAATTTTGATGATGCTGCAAAAATTATCTCGGTTTTACAGTCTCGGATAAAGTAATAAACCCCAAGGTCCAGGGGATTAAATGTTCACTGTCTCCAGAATCTACTTTTAAGAAACCGTTGCTGGAATTTTCCACCAAAGTGCCGCTTCTTTGTTTCGTTACAGCTGACGGTGAGTTGAATACGATTGCAAATGAGCATGGTTCGCACAGCAGCAGAGTCAGTTCATTTACTTTTCGGGAAACAGAACGATCGACTTGAATGATGTGGTTTGCAACCGACGTTTATAAACCCCTGAAGGCCAACTGATGGTGCATTGATTATTTTTATGTTCACTGGGTCCTTGAGATAACCCTGTTTGCACTTTTATGCGTGTAGCAGAGAGTGAGCTTGAACACACTCTATACCGATTACCAAACTGTCGTTATGCGAAATGATCATGGGGATGCTTCTGACTCGTCCCATTTACATCGAACTTGTATCTAGCGGATTGACACTTGATGTCCATCAGCTCAATCGCTGAGCACCGGTGTAGCCTCCACAAAGTCCCGAATCCTAATATCGTCCAAATATCCACCCCCCTAGCACAGATTATTAGAAAACTGACAGGCATTGATTTAAGAACAGTTGCAAGAAGAAACGTTTGTGGGTGGGCTCAAATCTCCAAAGTTCCGTTTACCAGAAGAGTGGTCTACCTCCGATTGCTCTCAATGAAGGCCTCTTGGCAAGACACTGTGTTGGGCTTAGGTCACTCGCGCATTGAAGCAATTTGTGTTCCCGATTAAGCCTAGATTTGCTTTTTATGGCTTTGAATTTGTGTATTGAAATCAAAAGATCTCGATACAGTTCTCCTCATTATTTTATGCTCTACGTCCTTGTTTCAAACGGTATTGTGCGAACGCGACGCACCTTGGTGTATCTTTAGATTTTAGCAAGCCGGTAATACTTTTTTGTTTCGTTAAACTTTGGTCTCTTGACAGATATTAGGAAGCAAAGTGAGTGCGCTGAAAAAATACACTCGAATCGATCTTTTTTGAAAGGGAACCAAAAACAGAACTAGATTCTTCCAAGATGAGGAAAGTTCCAATTCAATGGTTCCGAGGATCTGTTTGAAACCGTTTTGTGAGGGAAAAGGCATTTGCCTTGGATCTACAAATAGATGTAGCCAACTGATCAATACTGAACGAGACGAAACACGTCATTTGACGTTTCTGTGTGATCGATCCATACTGTATCACAACTATAAATGGGTTGCCATTTACTGAGACTTCCTTGAGAGTAGGGGAACTCGGGAAACAATGGCAACTATTCAACACCAGTTGGATTCCCTCAGTGGCGCTCATGCATCCAAGTTATTGCCTTCAATACATAGCTCCCTTTCCAACCCCCCCTTAACACTCCACCTACATTGTTGTATTTACGCACTAATTTATCAGCTCCCGTCTCCGATGCCCAGCTGCCGGAAGTACGCCTGTTGAGCGTTCATAGGCTCGTGCGTATGCCTGAGGGCCTGATTATGCTCACCGCTTTGTTGGATTTTATTAAACTATATTGGATTTCCTGCTTAAAATTTGATCTGTGAATCCGTTATTATTAACATACACAGATAGACAGATAGATAGATACATAGTTTAACTGGTTGCCTGATCTGTTGATGGATTGATAGATAGAATGCTCCATTGACTGACTGATTGACTGACGGACTGGTTGATCGATCGGTCGATTGATTGATTGTTGATTGATTGATTGATTGATTGATTGATTGATTGATTGATTGATTGATTGATTGATTGATTGATTGATTGATTGATTGATTGATTGATCACCAGCTCATTTCGCTGCAACTTCTAAACCAAGTATTACATATCTGAGGTCCAAGTTGCTTGTCCAAGAGACTGATCAATCAGATGAGTAACGAACACCACCAACCCAAAACAAATCTGATTCATTTAATAAAAGGTTGTTGTGAAATTGCGTTGATGGCATGAACCCATTTTACTCCGGACACTTGAGCATGAGGGTGACTAATGAGAGACAACGGGTGATGAAAACCAGCAAGCTGAGAGACACACTGAATAGGTATTTGGCATCCACTGTATTTTGTCCGCTGATGTGGACTGTCATGAATTCTTGTGGGAACTTAAACTATGAACCTGTAGGTAATTCAGAGCTGAGTCGGAGCGCAGGACGTCTCTTATTGAGGGGTCTCAAACTGAGGGATGTTTCAACAAGGGGGTTGCCATATTTGAAGACTTGATTTTTCCTTAAACATGCATCCGTTTGGAGCGAATCTTCCTACATTATTTCATAGTTTTTTGTGATTCCCGGCACAAATACTGTGAAGTGCTTCCCAAGACTTTCTACTCCACGCTGTATTCGCCCTCCGTTGAGGGTGATAAACGGGTAAAGCATCTTCAACAAGGAGCAAGCAAGAAGTACTTTAGCAACACCAGTGAAAGCTTAAAAGTATACTTTCACTGCTCATAAGGGCTTTTTACTTATCTTGAGGTTACTTGTCACGGACTGTCCCTCATCTGTATAACAAGGGGAGAAATTGAAGGACTCAATTCAAACGAGGTTCAAGCCGCGCCTTGAACCAGTTCAGTAACAGTCATTCCAGTACACGTTCCCCTCTACAACAGACGGCAGATATCCTGCACTGTTTGACCTCAAGAGCTCATAATGTCGGTTTTGTTCATGGTCACACCACTCTCGTTTGAACGGCTGTTCTCCTGTTCTGGCGTAACTATTCCGGTGAGTCCACACCAAACGGGGGAAGCACTGGACTCGAGTTTCGCTCTTATTAGAGCTCATCAACGGCGCATATCCAGTGGCTGTGCCGGGGTTTGAACTCCGGACACCCGACATGTGAGGCGAGCGTGTAGCCACTACTCCACCAACGCACGTTTGACGCATTTGAATTTTCACGTCTGAACAGGCGAACGTGTTCACACGTGAGCGTGCCCAACCCATCGAACGACGACCCGGTAACTGTCCCGGTCGTGACGATCGATTGACACGCCAGGCAGGACTTCCCAGTCAGGTAGCGTGGCACACGTTTAAAATCCACCGGGAAACTTTTTGTTCGCAGTTTTGGGGTTTCGCAGGTTAGGTATTTTTGTTCGTAGTCGGTTTCGATGATATTCTAAAATGTAAACTGAATGGTCCTAATGACACCCTGAAGGAGAGCGGTCTCCCTGCTTCATTTATTTCACACAATGGCCAAAACAAAGCAAAAACAAAAGTAACTGAAACAGTCAAACCAAACGAGTTTTTCCAATGCTCTGTTTTAAGGGCAATTCAATAACCGACATAGTAATCAAACGTTAATCCACGTCGGTGAGTTCCGCGTGCAACCTCACTGAACTTCGATGACTCCTCTCAACTCCATATCTTCTACATCATAGAAAACAATAGCAAATGGTCAATGCTGACCTCTACCGTAGTTGTTAATGCAGTCACGTACGAATCTGACGTTACTAAGTAGGCCGTACACCCGGTACTTGTCGAACGTGACGAGGTATCAGCGGCCGAGGTAACCAGTCACGTGAGGGGAAGTAGAAGCGAAACCTAGGGTTCTATAATAGCCCAAATCGCTGACGCCGCTTAAATTGTCACCCTAGACAGAGAATCCTGCGTCTTGCAAGAAATATCGACAAAATCTCCAAAGTTGTCAGACCATCTATCGGCATCCGAGCCCTCACAACCAAACTTTCCCCACACCGGAAAACCGTCCACTTCCTTCAGCCGAACTTCAGCCTTCGGCAGCACCCCATGGCTGGCCACGATGTGATGCATTACCACTTTGCTGATCGTCGTTGCCCGCTGATTCGGCACAGCTGTCGCCTCAATCCACGCGACAAGTGACAATAGCAAATGGTCAATGCTGACCTCTACCGTAGTTGTTAATGCAGTCACGTACGAATCTGACATTACTAAGTAGGCCGTACACCCGGTACTTGTCGAACGTGACGAGGTATCAGCGGCCGAGGTAACCAGTCACGTGAGGGGAAGTAGAAGCGAAACCTAGGGTTCTATAATAGCCCAAATCGCTGACGCCGCTTAAATTGTCACCCTAGACAGAGAATCCTGCGTCTTGCAAGAAATATCGACAAAATCTCCAAAGTTGTCAGACCATCTATCGGCATCCGAGCCCTCACAACCAAACTTTCCCCACACCGGAAAACCGTCCACTTCCTTCAGCCGAACTTCAGCCTTCGGCAGCACCCCATGGCTGGCCACGATGTGATGCATTACCACTTTGCTGATCGTCGTTGCCCGCTGATTCGGCACAGCTGTCGCCTCAATCCACCGCGACAAGTGTTCTATCATTATCACGATGTATTGATTCCCTCCCCCCCCTGGTTGTCACCGGAAAGGGGCCCATGAAGTCAATGGACCACAGTCTTCTGTCTGGTGACATCACACGCCAAACCACATCTTTCACACACTCCAAATAGTTAGCAGCTTGGCAGACAATTTATGCCTTAATCAACAAGTGGATTTTACCTAACCACGCCGATTACTCGTCCATTTGATTGCTAGTGATTAGAAGAACAGTCGTTGAAAGCAAATGTTTGCCCAACTTTTTCTTTTGCGAATAAAAAGAGCGATTGTTCATCAATACCGCTCAAAAACCACAAGCAGGATTACCACCAGCGGCTACTAGCGCGTATGTTAAGACACACTACTCAAAGAATAATCAGCAATCCAATGCTACACTCAAACTCCCTGATAAAGCACTGACCATATCACCTCGATTAGTGGTGAAACGTTCACAATCAAATCACCCAACCAGGCGAACAAACCAACGACCGACTAACGGTGTAAATAAGTGAAAAACCGCGCCTATAAATTTGGTATCGATAGGCCTAAAAGTCACATAGCAAGGATAATCGAGGGATTAGTAATACTTAAGAATTCGCGCCACTGCAGTTTCCCTGAGTCTATGAGTGCATATCTGAGTGATATTCACACGTGATTGCCATTTACCAGCTATCGATTCAAATCATCCGTCACATGAATGAACCATTTTTCCGGATCGATAAGACGGTTAACGAATGTGAAAGAGGAAGAGCAGAGTAACTGAAAAGTGTTGCAGCACTACGCGACCAGAAGTTCAGTATAAATATAGTCAGTCAGCTCGTTGTTATCACATTTTATTTGATACGTTTTTTAACTGTTCTGTTGTCGCAAATGAAAGTAATTCCCCACAAAATCCTTATGTTTTTAGTCAGGGTTGAAAATAACGGTAAGCGTGTTTAGTTAACCAACTTTTACTTATACGGAAACACTTATGCCTTCATGAGCTGATTGTATTTCGTTTAACTCGGTGCACAAATCCACTTACTACAACTTGCGCCCTTTGTCGTAAAACAGGTGTTAGGAGAACCCTCGTGGAAGGCAAGTTTCCATCAAATGTTCAGTAAACTTGCAGTTCGTAACTAAGTTCCAAACTGTTCATAAAATGTTCTCTTTTAACAGTGGAATATTCGGAGGGACTAAATTTCGGTGAGTGAAATATTGCTTTGCTTACTGGAAATATTCCTCACTATCAGGCGTCAAGACCCTGTTTCCACGGACCCAGTCTGTATTAGGTATAACAGATATCGGTCAGGCTAATGAAAGCCTTCTGTGGTAATAACTAAAACGCATCTGTGTTCAGGTATCTCTGAAAATGTCTTATAGGGACACTAATCTTCGAAAAACACAATGACAGCAACCCCAGTTACACTCAGTTTGAAATGACGTAGTGCACCAAAGTCATCCCTCGAAACAATGCCCTTTTAAATGGGGTTCCTCAGCTGAATTATTACAGTGCAAATGAAACCCCAGAGAGCTTCCATGATCATCGCCCCAATATTCCAATCTCATCGATCTAATGACTGCCAGGTCACTTTTATGAAATCAATATTTTTGAAATGACCTTGGGCAGCTTACTGACAATGTATACAGTGCGTTGTACCTGGCACAAGGTCCCATAAATGACAACGAATGAATACTACAAAATAGCACGGCTTTCTTGATAGAACAAACATTCATACGTTTGGTGAAAACCCTTAGGCGGCCGACAACTGGTTCCGTCCCATTTATAGCTCAAAGAGTAGGCGTTTTTTTACGGGCTTTCATAATTTGAAAATGAGTGCATTGCGCAACTCGGCTACAATTTGTTGTTCAAGTCGAACGTAAGAAGAATGGAAGCTAGGGAGCTATGTTGAACTGACGAAACCAGTTGTGGATTGTCAAAGAGATTCCAAGAACCTTTAAGACTGGTTGCCCTGTCAATCAAATAAACTGCGGCATGTTACATTGATTAAAACATAAGGAGGCCTTCCTGGAGTGCATTTAGTTAAACAACATCATTAATGATATCGTGTTGAGTAAACTGCTGTTAGATGGGCATTCGCGCTTGCCGAACTCTACCTGCAGCTGACCAATGCACGTACAATTTCAATTGTTCACCTGTTATTGATCCAAAACATTTGAGTTAGATATGAACTCCACCTAAAGCCATCCTGAAGAAATATAATTCTTGCTCCGTCTTTCTCGATAGTTAGCGTCTACGGTCCCCAAAAAGGTAAGCAAACGGCCGCTAACTCCTTATATCCTTATGACAAAACATTCTAAAAAATTAACCATTAACTGTGCCTACTTTCTCCCGGTCAAACCCTTTTCTTTCTTGGACCCATTTTTTTCTGCTCTGATTGTATGTATTCAATGTTTACTAACAACGAACTTTCGACCCTTAACATGCCGAACCAATTCTGACCAACTTTTCGCGCGCGCTTTTTGACCCACTGCGTTACCACGTGCTGCGCTCGTACGTTTGTCGGTAATTCACATCGAGTTACTGTTCTTGTCGGGCTTGCTCTAGACTTGCAGCAATTAGAGGGAATTCACCATAATCTGTGGTTTGTGTCCTTTCAGGTATGCATGTTGTCCGTGTAGTACCACATTTTGTTGATAAATCTCGAGGCTTGTGATTTCGCGCGTCACTCCATTGAGCTTTCTGGAATACGTCACAGTAAACCTCCATGGGATTCCACTGTTTTACGTCGATTCATCAGACTTAACGTTCAGGGGGAAACTGAGTAATCTTTGATGTAACAGATGTAATGAAATGTTTCTGGACCCCTTTAGAGCAGGGGCTGTTAACAGCTTCTCAGTCGGTTTGGCTGATGTCTGTTCCCCTTTCCCGTCCATAACTTTTTATTCGTCAAATTTTCGAGGCAATAGTCTCCGCAATAAGTTGTGAAAACCGACATCTACTAATTTTGTGGTAGAGAAGAAACTATAGACAGAACAGGTTATAGACAAAACAGCCATGTCAAATGTTTGTTGAAAATCCTCCGACAGCCCACGACCGGTTTCGCCCTTTTTGCACATGTATTGCGATATCTCGAATATCGTAGCGACTGAAACATGAGGCGGCCTGGTGCAGCACATTCAGTTGCCTGAAAACATCACAAACGAGAGATTCAGCTGGGTTCCAGGTGAGTCTCTCGAAAAACCAAATTATTTTGCAAATGAGTGTATATTCGCTGAAGCCATGTCAAATGATGTCACCAGATGTGACCTGTGTTCAGAAACCAGGAATTACTTTTGAATGCAGGATGTATGGTGGCATGCCATAAAATTCACCTCAGGTATCCTTAGCAGACATCAATGTATTCCCAACACTATGGTTTTCAACCCATTACAAAATGTTAAAAATGTTGATTAGAAAGGATGTAACATACTACTCATTAGGTTGCCGAAAGCCGCTCGACTACTCATGACCGGTTTCGCCCGACATTCTTGGGGCTGGCTCATCGGGCGGGCACGTCTCCAAATTGCAGTCAACCTTATGTTCTAATTGAACCCAAATCGGATATATTTCGATAAATACTCTCACATGTGCAATGATTTGATTGTCGAAACGTCCACATTTGGCATAAAACTCGATGTACTGTAACCGTGTGAACAAGTTTTAAGCCGTTAAATTAAAATTGAGTTGTAGAACTTCAAGCCACAATCGTGAACTTAGAGTCTGGCTACAAATTTGTACGTCGTTGAAACGAAAGCCACCAACTTGCGTGAATCTACACCTTGAGATCGAGTCTAGCTCTTCATATTGCTTGGCGGTGCTCAGACATCCAGGTCAAATGATACCCTTGCATTCGTAAAAAAATGCGGCATTCTCGCAGGACTCTTGATGAAACTAAGATAAGTTCAAGTTTATTGTTCGTTTATCGGCTCAGGAAGCTTTCTAAATACGTTTTTACGGCTGATTTTTGTTGGTATGTGGCCTCCTAAATTCAAAGTCCAAATACCAAGGTTGACAACAACTTTATTGAGCGGACTGGAACAAACCCAACCCAAATGAATCAGGTTTTGCCAATAGGTTGAGCAATAAAAACATCGTTTATCTCTTGGTATGCCTTTCATTCATCCAGATATTTCTTTCTCAACCTTTATGACTCTGTGACCTCATTAAACATATAAGCATCCAGTCACAGAGAAAACGAAATGGCTCAAGTGGTCCGAGAGCGAATTTGCTGACCGGAAAGTCCGTGGTTCGAACCCGACTTCTGCCTCTCGACTGTCCAGGCTTGGACAACCTGGCAGTATCCCAGCCCTCGTGCAACCTTTGAGTGGCGAGACAGGTAGGCACCGGTGGGATGTCACAGCATCAAATTTGTGTCAAACCTTGTGTCTTTGAAGACACACACATAAAGCCGTAATGACAGTTGTTATAAACAGGTTGTCCCTCGTCAGAAAACCTTACCCCTTTTCCATCCTATCTGGCTCGTCTCTAAGACGGAAAGATAGTTTCTTACCACTGCTGACAAATTTGTTAGTGCGCTAGAATATAGAAAAACAAAGAGGAACACGGAAAAAAAACTAAAAAAACTAAGCTTCTAGAGGTATTTAACATTGGTTACCGCTCCCAATATATTTGTATACTCACGACTTTATCAGTTTAATTCCCTTGATGAAACTCTATTAAAGCGGTCGCGATGAATCTCGGTTCCGCCCAATCATTTGTATAGTTTCGTTTACATAGTGACCACTGTGGAGTCTGTTGAAAATCACCCAGTTGTACAAATATTTCCTTTCTAGTAACTACACCCCCACCTCCCTGTGAGTTTCATTCTAACAACCATAGTCTCTCATGAACTTGTTGCTATACAATCAGTATTGGGGCTTTTTGGTACTGCGCAGTCCAGTCTTACAATGCAGGTCGGTTTGAACCAAATTATTCGTCAACTGGTTCTGGAAATTATATAAACTGAAAATTTGGAACTTCTAGCATCCGTTTTGACTTCTAGCTTGGATTTGCCAACTAGTTTATCTTTGTTTACCGACCATCTTAGCTTTTTCAGTTCAAATGTTGATTTTGGTTCGATGTGGAATTAAATCGTGTAAGTTGATGCATGATCATAGCTCTAACCGTTGAGCTGTAGCACTCCATCGGTGCCTAGCTGCTGGGCCACTCGAAGGAAGCACGAGGGCCGAGACACGGCGAGGTTGCCTGAACCTAGACAGGATAAGTCGAGACGCAAAGGGCAGGGCTCAAACCATAGACTTTTTGGTCAGTATGTTGACGCCTTAAGCACTAAGTCATTGGAAGTTTCTCAAACTGCCTTCTTACAATGTTACACTTATTTCTAACGGCTACCCGATAAAGTTACCAACCACTGCGCCATGGAATATATGGGAGCGTGAATCCTCAGTAAATGGGACAAAAGTTTCAATCAGACTATGGTTTTAGGGGGATCACCTAATCACAGCCATACGGCACAAATTTTGTGCTGTCCAAACCCAGCAGTTCAACTAATTCCGCTCTCCTCAACGAGGCAAATCAGTGAGCAGCTCAATCACTTTGTCTTTTACATTGTGTACCAGTTCACTTTTGGTGAGACCCGTCGACAGAACAAATGGAAGCATATGTGAAAGTACCGCAGGACTTTTGCTCTGCTATTTGAATCAGGCGGAAAATCGATCGATCAATGAATTGCAAACTGAGACCTGAAAATCTACCTCCTCCACCGTCAAACGCATTCTATTCACTGAACTTAGAGTTGACCCTCAGAGCGTTCAAAACTTTACCACTAGATGTCAAATCGAAATTGTTAGCTATCAATGAGGCTATGCTAATCACTCAGTACCGATTTATGGTTGTAGGTTTGTTTGCCGAGCTTGGCGGTTGGATTGCGAACAGTTGGGTCGGTGAACAGACCAACAACCAACCAGAGCTACCTGAATTCCACAACATTGCCAGTACCGATCCATTTTGTACACATCACAGAACCTGAGACAACCTACCAGCTTGCTCTAAATATAAGAACCGGACAATACGTTTCTCTGACTTGTTGCTATTTAGGACGTAAAACCAACGTTTATTCGTATTGCTGCTGAGGAGGTAAAAGCGAAATGTTGACGTCTTGTGGCTTTTTTCCTCCTGTCGCATTATTCAAGCCGATAAACAGAACTCAATGTTTCTTCGCCAGCCAAGCGTTGCTCTACACTGTAGGGCAACCAGTTTTTGTACTTCATGAAGACTATGAACAAGAACACTATGTTTTTAACATACGTTCTTTAACTCTGGAATTTTGAAAAGTTCGTGGGATGTCTTTTGTAGATCCCTTTCATGCGCCTGATTCAAAATGCTTATTGCACCTCAAGGTATAATTTTTTTTACTAAAATAAACAGTGCTGAGCCAGTTGAAGCTGCACTGTTCAGCGAAAGTTTTGAAGCGTTTTCTGTCGCTCTTAGTTTTTAAGCATGAATAACATACATAGTTCAGTTTGTCACTGACTCCTACCAACACTGGCACATAAAAGCGGCTGAATGACTAAAAACCACCCCTGAAAAAGACTCGTAAGTCACGTGACTTTTCCAGTGATTTCACGAAGACATTGTTGATCGATCAACCGGTAATTTGATTTTCCCTGCCTTCAAGTTGAAGGACCTACTCTTGTTTGAGTAACTGCATAAGAACTTCGTCGTTAGTGCAACCCGCGTACACTGCGTTTTACCTGCAATGGCATCCTTGATCAAACTGGTGTAAGCTTTTAATGAGGACAGTGTACCCAGCACTCTATTAGCTCAGATCTTCCCAAAGATGATATCGCTTCCTTTAGGACACTTGACGTCACTGTACCTATATTTTGCTTGTGAGTGGTACCGTCTCCATCGATCCACTTAAGTAAAATTAGTACAGAGTTCTTCGAGTAAATGATGGGCGAATGTTCGAAACAGCAATTTATCATGGTTGAAACTATCTGAACCACTCACGGAATTCAATGATTTTAGCGTGCTGGACTCCCCTGTTGAGCAGTGAGTTTATTCTTACCGATGTATGGATACCATTGATTTGTTTTGAGGTAGCTGAATCTGTTAGCGCGCCCTTGGAGTGAAGCGTCTAGTATACGTCTTTAGCGAATTTAAAACGTGCCAAACTAAGCTAGAAAAAAATTTATTCTCAGTGATATACAATAGTGTGGTATTTAGGCAATGTATTGCGCACACCGAACCAAGATTTGCCTAAAAGAGTGCTGTCTTCCGTGCCTGTTCAGAGTAGCAGAGGAATTACTGTGGGCAAGACTCACCTTCCAGAATGGAGTCCTAGAAAGTGACGTCAGTGCACATTGTTGGAGATGCAGCAAGATGTGGATGCCAATCGATTTCAATGGGGTTCCTGCCCTCATTCTCCATCCAGATTGCCATATTGACTGTGTGAAGGTATAGGTACTGTAGCAACCCAGTCACCCGACATACTTGACTGTTCAGCTCAGTCGCTCACTGGATCACGAGACGTTTTTTTTTCATACTCGCAAACCACATCACATTAAGGTGACTCATCGGACATCGATTGTCGCTACAGTCTAGTGAGCGTAGCAACAACTCATGTGCTAACGCACCCACGTACACGCAAACGGACCTACATATAGGGAAACCGAACACAGTCAGCACACACAAACTCTCGCGCGCTCAGGGAACAGGAAGTCAACCACTCTCCACAAGTCCACGGACTATTATGGAACACATGTAGCAGTCGTACTGCGGAGAAAACACGTTCCCGCCGACTGAACTCTCACCAATGAACTCTCACAGACGATAAGTCCTTTTTTACTTGCTCCCACTTTCGCATTCTATTTATTTTTAAATGTGTTGCAACCCACTACTGCCAACCATACTAAAAAGTTTTATTATTGCACACTTTCTAATTTGTGTCACGGTCATCAACATCAGTGCACTAATAGTACCACCAATGATTTCGGTTGGGTAGCGTGATTTCAAATTCTCAAATTTCAAATAAATTTAAGCTGTACGGTAGTGCTGAACAACGATAGTATGCTGTCGATAGTAAGGATGATCGATTACACAATTTATCAGCCGATTTTGAAATTGGCATCCAAAAATCGATAGCTATTGGGACCTCAAAATTCAAAGACTTGTGGTGGTACAAAGTTAGATTTATCGGATAATAAAGTCGGATATTAAGTCTTAAATTTTCATCTGGATTTCTTGAAAATCGACATCTTAACGCTTTCAAATTGTGAACGTTGGCCGTGACTCAGTTTCTCCGACGAAGTCGCTGCGGGTGGCAAATAAACGGTGAGTGAAACCCTATGAATTTGACGAAGACTGATGGACTGAGAATCACTCGATGCAGATGACTTTGATATGTTGTACAACTGTGCTATCGATTGGACGACTCGGTTGGCTATTTCTGACGGATCGCAGATTAATTGTAAACGAAAGACACAATCATGATTTCGAATATTCGCGAGGAACTTTGAAGCTATTGCAGTCACAGTGCGGACACCTGTGTAGTTCCCAACCCTCTTTTTTTCGTGGTCGAGGAAGAAGTCACGAGATATTTGAGGACTATTGGCAGGTTGCCATGGCAACTGCTTCTTAGCCAACGTTTTGTTGTTGGTCGGATGATCCTTGGAACACTTCCGGTTTAGTGTAGCCGGTTCTTTGAGGAGCCTATACGGCAACGGAGGACGCTACTAAGGGCCAGGCTAGAGGCAGAAGAACGCGCCGAGAGCGGAACTTGGTCACAAATATATACAATCCGTTTTCGAGTAGGTGCAAGATGAGTCAATTTTGTTGCCTTCTTAATCGACTAGTTTAAGGTCTTTGCCAAAGAATTCGATATCTTTGTTCATGATTTTGCCCCGGGTATCTTGAGCTACCATCGCGGGATCCCGGTTCGATTGGGCAGTTTTAGATCAATACGCTTTCAAATTGTCTGTGTGACGAAATGTCGTCCACGTATTGATTTTCCAAGGGTTATGAAGAAAGGATTCTCCTTTTTCCTGTCCTGTTGGTGGGCCGGTCAGTGCTCTGATATAAAGCTTTACCTTACTTTTACCATATGTGAAAATTTTTTCTTTACTTGACTACTTTTTTAACACAGAACTGTTTGGTCGCCGTAGACGAAGTGAGCGCTGATTATTTGTGTTCAACATTCACAACACTGTCACTGATAGCTGAGTAAATTAGAGGAATATAGAATAACGGTAACAAAGCTGGTGACTTGAATTAACACAGGGTTCGAAAGTTTGAAGAGGCGTGGACATTTTCGTTGCAATCGATTTGTTCTGACAGGTTAACCTAAACCTGATGCAATGAATGTACTTTCTGCGTGCCGAATGCACTCTGGTACTTGCGCTTTAGCCTGCTTCCAAGTGTATTCTGCGATCTATCAATTTGGTAGTTGTACCAAGAGGATCGCTAAGCAAGGCAATTTGAGGAAGATGAGAATCCAAAAATTGTGTATTGAATGGCTCTCTTACTAAACATTACACAGTCTATCTTAGGCTAACGGTTCACCGTAGCTGCTTTGTTTGCCATCAGCAATTCTGTAAAGAATTCTAAACATTCTGGATATATTCCATATCATCCGTAAACTCATGCCTGACTGATCATCGATCCTACCAAGGAGATCTGATAACTGTATTGAGCATGGAGGTTCAACAGATGTAGATCAAAATTCATACCTCAGACCAAGTTCAACGCCTAGACATACTGGTCGAAGAAAGAGCAATCTAGAGGTTACAGTCAAGAGGAATTTCGCCACCTGTCGTTCTACACCTGACGAGTTTATCTTAATAAAGGTATGGGTCAGATTTTAGACAAATGGCGACGGCCCCATCTAAACACCCGGGAACAACGAACTGAGAATTGTGCTCAGCCGTGATTCATCAGAAGGTATGCTCAACTTTGAACTTTGAACTTTTAACTTTGAGGATACAAGTGTTCTGGTGTTAAATCATGGAGAGAGAAACTAGACACATACTTCTGGGCTACATACCGTATATTTGAAGCAATTAGTCCTTGATCTGCAGTCCAATAGTCTCCTCGGAACCGGAACTAGCATGGACCAATCACATGTACAGTTTTGTCCAAGTTTCGACATAAATACAGATGGTACACGAGAAAAGACCGCTCATGATTTAAGAAAAATAAAGGAAACTACCCACAAGGTTTCCAGAACTGTTCGACAACCCACGACCGGTTTCACCCTTCTTTGGGCTCATCAGGCGTCCTCAGTCTTCGAGATTCCGTCAAACTTGTGAGTAGTTTCCTCTATGAAAATATACTGCGACATCTCGAATATCGTGCCAACTGAATCGAGAGGCGGCCAGTGTGCCGCACATTAAGTTGTAGAATATCATAAATGAGAGATTCAGTTGAGTCTCCCGTGAAAACCAAATTGATTTACAAAGGAGTGTATTTGTCGAAATAAAGAACAATCTTTACTCTGGACCCAACAGAACAGGTCAGAACCTTCGCAACTGTCCAAGTGTCATCCATGTTCCGCACCATCTGACTCAAGTTGACTTTTTCCTACGGTGAAGTTTCAGGAATAACACCATATGCGATTCCTCTGAAGATGAGTGAGTACAATCAGTGAAGTATTGTTTGATATTTGTAAGTACAACTCAGTTTCATAGATAACACATTGTTTTAACGCTGTTTGAATAAGGGATACGGGAAAATCATCACCATCATCATCATCATCATCAAGTCATCGTCACATTGTTTTAACGCTGTTTGAATAAGGGATACGGGAAAATCATCACCATCATCATCATCATCATCAACAACAACAACATCACCGTCATCATCGTCAACATCATCATCATCATCATCATCATCATCGACAGCATGACATCAGTGTTCAACACCGATGCTCCAGTGCCGGAAGTACGGAAAAAAAGTGTTTCGACATAACAACGCTACTGCATGAAATTTACCGACCTCCAGCGGTAAGCTGTATTTGTTTGTCTCTGTTGTTCATGATCCTTTTTAGGTGACCTCGAGTAGGACTCCTTGATTGTGACCGACCAAGAAAAAGAGACTGAATTTCGCTTCTCTTCAGAAGTGGGTTGAAAGTGAGCACTAAACGGAAACCAGAGTGGGTAATTTAAAGTGCGAAAAATCTTTTGTGTTTTGCCTGCCACGGCCAAATTTTGACCTCAAATGAGTGTAATACTTGCAGTACAAGCCACGGTTCGTTAAAAAATAATGCGTATCTTAACCGTTCTGTTACCTTCGTCCTCCCAATTAATTTTCGTAGAGGTTTTGAAACCGAACAGACCAGTTCAATGTGAGTCTTATCGATTAAATTGATTTTGCTCTGATAGGAATATGACATAGTGTTTGAATCAGTACGCTCTTAAAAGGCAAACGGAAAATCTTGCTATTTGGCGCTTTTGTCACTTTCAAAGTGTTGTAAATGTGGATAAATAACCGGATCTTTCTAAAAAAAAAACTGGCACACAAAAGTACTTCCAAAAGTAATGAAATTACTATAGAGAGTTTCCAACGCGTGCGATTTATCCAAGAATGAATGGTACCATGAAGACTTTTGAAACTGCACAAGTACCATCGTACGACTTTGGGCAGCGTGTGCGGTGGCTGAGTTCGTTGAGCGCACGTCCAATAGGCGAATGGTCGTGAGTTCGAGCCCTGACCATGAGCTACCTAACTGTTGATCTGAATTACGTGTGCATGGACATATATTCAAGAGTTTCTGAACCTCTGTCGTAGACCAACTTAGGTTTAAGCGGCTGTAATATCCCAAACCTGTCGTGTGGCTCATGGCCTCTGGTCAGCTTTGGTCAAGGCAGTTGCAGAGTCTGTCACGAGCTTCGAGTTATTTCAAAAACAACTCAACATCTTGTATTTGCCGCAGAAGCGATCAGATAATAGTTGGTTTTATCGAATACTTGGTCCGCTAGGTTAAGAGTGGTATCTGTTTTTTCATGACGCATAAGGGCCACAAAGCTGATCAACCTGGTAAAATAGCCGAGAACGTTTTCGTTAGCCTTCTGTGAACTGCTCTTCTTGTATCAGAGTTACCCAACTGTTGGAAATGCTCCTTGAAAACGTTGATGCATCATTTAGGACTAGCTGTTTGTAGCACCATGACATGATCGCCGAGCTTTTTCCACGTGCTTCCTAGGGACTAACATTCATCAGTATTGTCTTCCTGCTCTGAGAATCAAACAGCACTTGCAACTTTTTTAGCAGGCTTTACTGTGCGCTAAAATATTCAATGTAGAAAGTTAATCAGTTTCAACTCAGAGGTGCTGGGTTGGAGCGTTTCCCGGTTAAGAAACGGCTATTAAGCGCGATTAATTGGCTCCTGCGTTTCTAATGGGCAAGGGGCCACATTGCTAACAAATTCGCTTTGCCGCTGACGGACAAGAGATATGAACAAGACAGCGCAGTATTTCAGGCCTGCTCTGGATTTGATTTCTCTGAAAGTGAGTAAAAATTCAAAAAAAATTATCTCATTCGACTGTGTCCCTCACATTATGATAGCACGTGCTGCGTAAAAATTTGCAACTTTCTACAAACGCATAGCTGATTTAGTGTCCGCTGTGAATCAGAAATAGTTTGCCTTCAATCAATATGTCATGTGCACACACACAGTAAAAGTGGGGGCAATTGATTTCTGAAGGGCCCAAGACAACAAATTTAATTAATTCTACAGACGGGAATATTTGTCTCTCTCCCAGTTCCTCTGCGCCTGTTGGTAATAATAAATAAATAAATAAATAAATAAATAAATAAATAAATAAATAAATAAATAAATAAATAAATAAATAATATATATATGATAGTGTAACAATACTTGCAATAGTTTGCTAGATGTACGCAGAATTAAAGTTGACCCCTGTATTGTACTGGATTCCACATGTCGCGTTCCAAATAGGTCGGCAATTTGTACGACGGCGAAATTTGTCCAATCACCTTAGACTATTTCCAATCACCTTAGACTATTTATTTATGCCCGACAGACAGATTTGTGGGATACGTGCTGCGAAGTAAGTTGACGCTTAGATCATCTCTATGTCGTTATATTCCTAGAACATGAAGTTTCTAGACAACCTGGTCAATTATGGATGTGCTTCTGTGCGCCAGCTGGAAAAATCGATAATTTAATTTAAATTTGAACTTGGTACGTGGTCAGTGCAGAACAGTTGGTTGAAGCCAGTTCATCACAGCGGGGGGGGGGTCGTTTCTAACAATCTGCTTTGTGGATTGGATTTCAAACTAAATTATGCCTTAAATGGTCTCCTTCCTATGGTGTGCGTTTTTTCGGGGGATCGTTCCAGGAAAATTGTTGTCCTCATCAGTTTTGTTATTTTTCTTATCTGTGTAATTCATTAATTATTTTACCGTAAACTTAGGAGGACGCCAGGACTCTGCTCATGCTAGACGGTTTATAAAAGTTCCCAACTCCAGTACGCTGTCCAATACAATTGGTTTTAAACAAGAGGTTATTGATCAAAGCGGCGTCAATTAAATGAACAGGTTGCAGTGCTTTCGTCCGACACTGTAGACAAAATCAGTAAAAATTAATATATTTTTGGCAAGCCGACCTCAAAAGAGAAATTACAGTTTTTGTTGATTTTAGTTGCAAGAGATGGGCGAAATGGCCCAAGTGGTTAAAGCGCGAATGTACTGACCAGAAGGTCCGTGGTTCGAACCCGACCCCATCTCTCGACTTCTCCCCTCTAGGCTTGGGCAACCTGACAGTACCCCAGCCCTCGTGCTTCCTCTGGGTGTCATGGCAGTTAGGCACCAAAAGGATGTTAGAGCTGAACGACTTTTTTTCATTTTTGGTCACAACTTCCAAGCTAAAAACTATGCTTATCACACTGAATTTTGCTTTTTTCATCCCTTCCCGATTATTTCTTGTCGAGTGAAATGATTGGCTTGTGTGGTTGATTGAAGGTTCGCCATATTATTCACTATGCACTAAAATATTCTAAATTGTTGGCCCCCTCCAATTTCATTCGGATGAATGAAATTTTGGGAAAGCTGGAATTTTATCGAAGGTCTTGGTTACCGTACCGGTAGAAAGGTGATATTCAACCACTAGATGGAATCAAGTTGCCAAGTTAAAGGCACCAAAATAGTATGCTTGTGTTGTAAATTTTAAAGGTATTGGGTGTCTAAAACGAGAATTGATCAAGAACTGTTCAAAGTTACGTGTGTTAAAATTATATCGATCTAATTATCGATGTTTATGGAAATTGGCCTGTTTCCCATGTTGAACAGTCTTATTTATGGCTTGATGCGATTATCCTAGATAGTGCGAATTGTTCAAAAATATCGGAATTCGACTGGTATTCTTGTTTCTGGCTAAGAATTGATAGATGTCCTCATTCGTGTTAGAATTTAAACTGTGGTCTTGAAGCCCGCAGCAGGCGCGACTATCGATTTTTAGCCGGCCAAAGCTAACTGGACTTTGAGAAAGGCGAAACCATTCGGGATCCAGATTTGGTTAAAACGTATATGCGTATAGATCGTTGGAACACTGTATATGCGTACTGGTTTGATCATTTGGGTGATTAGACTCAAGAATGGGAAATAAGGACAGATAGCATCCAGTCACCGGAGGTATTCCCATTGGTTGAAACCCACCCACCCATCCCACTAGATCACTCATAAGCCTTTACATATTCTGGCACGACATTTTTACTACCGTAATATCTGGCACTTATTGTGTGTTGGTGGCAGTGAAGACCAGCATGCGCCCACGCCCAAAATTAACGTTCGATAGTCAGTGCACCGTGGTACTACTCGAACGCAACGAGTAGTCAATAAAAATAAGAGAAGGTGATTCTGATGTGAAAGCAGTGGTGAAAAGGCCATGACATTGCACATACAGTGAGAAAAGGAAGCCGATTCACGCAGTATTCCGCCATCTTTGATTTGGATTACATAATCGTTAAAAGTGTTGGAAATGGCCAAAAAATCAACTTCGAAGTTTTACTGATTCTCACATTGGTCAAGGTGGCGTAGTTGGTTAGGTCAGCATACCAGAGAAATTCACTGAATAATATTTTTGTTAGCACTGTGTAAGCTCTCCGATTAGTTCATAACTCATTTCAAAATAACTCTACAGGCGACATTTTTGAGCATACTGAGTTTTTTTCTAAAAACTATTTTGTGTCCAGTTCGATTAGACGGAGACAAAGGTGAGTTTCTCGAAACGATCTAATCGAAGATCTCATTAGATGCAAACAGAATTAATTAGCTGTTAGCATAAGAATAACTAGCGTGGACTTTCAAAAGGTCGTTTTATTGACATTTAAAGGCATAAAATGTAGGCCAAATATGACATGATGACAGTCTCAAACTTAGAGAATCCCTCAGTTAAATTAAAAGAATATTATAGAGAATTCCGACAGGAGATCTCATAATCAAAACTGCCTCAAGAGTGCAAGCGCTCCAAAAACCTCAGCCTCAAGACCCCCTTCTATCGGAACTAAATGATAGGAGAGCTTGAGACTGGATAATTCTTGCTCTATGTGAATGAATGAGCTCAGAGCAAGACCTAAAATTCAAATTTCTACTTTGTCGGAGAGGCGTACATTGTCCCGCACCTGCGGGCCACTAGTGAGATGTTTCAAACGGGCTGCTGTGATGTGAGTCTTGAGACAACCTTCGAACCATCAGGAAGGTCAGCTTCCTGAAAGCAACCAATGAATGCCCGAAATCCACCGAGAATTTTAGCTCCGCTAGGTGTTGACCAGACAAACAACACCCCCTCAACATGCAGCGCGTCACAGCCTCGTAGCAAAGCCAGACCGAGTGCGTCAACATTGGACCGAGTTCAGACAGTGTCCCTCCCTTGAGATCGTTGTACATTCGCACTCGCACGCATTCACGCTCTCGCACTCGCTTGTTCGGAATGTAGCTGTTGTGTTCCCTTCTGTGAGTTTTTTCGGCAACTAGGCAATGTGGCGGGTCAGCAGCAGATACCACAGATTGACGAATCAGCAGATATAATAATAACCATCCATCCGAGATGATTGTGAGTCAATGGAAAATGGAACAAGCAATGCCAGTCTACGGTTTTAGTAAGCTTCTGTGTACCAGAACCCTCTGGGCAGATCAACAAGGCAACCAGGAATGAGTAGAGTTCTCACAATTTCTTGCATTCTGATTGGCACCGTTTGATCGCTGTCTTGACGTTCTTCATTGCGGTAAGAGTTGGTAGTGGAACAAATTTTTGGAAAATGTCGGTGAACCAGAGTTTTTTCAGAATATCACTTATTTTCTACGCAAGTTATGAACACACTTCTCAGTAAATTTGGTCATTATTCTGGTTTCCTTTGGATTTTTAGATTTTCAGGTTCCCCTAACGCAAAACTTGGCTGTCTGATTTCTTTATTAAATGCAGTGATCTTTGATAAACTGTGAGTTTAATTACTAGCCTTTTGCAAATGCACACAGTTTTGAAAACAGTATAGGGATCCGTGAAAAGGCAACGAAATATATCACCCGCACATATATGTCGCAACCTTTATGGTCGATGTGAAACGTGCTGTCTGGTTGATTAAAAGAGGTAGAAACAGACAAAAAACTGCTTTGGCAGCTACTTCGGAGACAGGGTTCCGTTAAAATGAATTCCGTTATGTTCTACTTCCGCTTTCGTTATTTCCAAAATCGCTTTGAGGTTTCGTTTATAATCAACGAAGCTTTTAGCTGTGAGTGTTTATTGGACTTTTACAGCACATGCTTTCATCACTCTCCTTTGAACAGTTATCCCTCCCCTGTCCTGGGGCAATCATTTTGATGAGCTTACATCAAAAGGGGAAAGCATTGGACTCGCCCGTATTAGGGCTCATCAGTAGTACATGCCGTTGGCCGTGCGTGAATGGTGTCCCCAACAACGTCCGTAAATTTGATTTAACGTGGAAGGCTTGTACCTTGTAGCATACCGAATAACGTACTGTGGAAACAAATAAGTTTACACACGTGGTTCAACAGTTGGACACCATATGCATTCAGCTTGTCATCCATTTTAGGCGAATTTGGAGAGGTTTGGTAGGCTTAGAATATCATGCGTGTACTGTTTGTCAAATTTGTTAGACAAAAACGACCTTGTGATAGTTGCTCTGTCCGTTCGACCAACAGATTTTAAAAGTGAAATGCAGCTCTGACGTCATCACGCAACGTTGCTTCTTAGGAGGTTAATCACACAGTGCCTATTGATTTTTCACTATCTGTCGATTGACTCACATACAATATTGGCAAAGGCATTTGTACTACGTATGTTTCTGGATTGTTGACGCGACTACTGAAATCCCGTAAAATGGTACCAAATGTGACTACACCGATGAGGGATCCAGCATTCCGAAGAAAATTCTACTGAAGAAAAAGTCATGGTCCGTCTCGCAAAATAAATCAATCTGTTCTAAGTGTCGAAATAGCATCGACTTAGCAGGATGTAATCAATTCGAGACAAACAAGGATGCAGCCATTCTGGTTAAATCTAATACCCCGCATTAGAAGTAAACCTGCTGCAAGTATTGACGTGATGTGCTACTCATTAGGTTGCTGAAAATTCTTCGAGACCCCATGACCAGTTTCATCCGTCTTGGGGCCCCTCGGGTGGGCACGGTCCTCGAGTTTCCGTCAAACATATGTTCAAATTGAACCCAATTTCACGGATTTAGCGAACCACACTCATTTGGTTTTGCTGGAGACTCATCTGGAGCACACCTGAATCCCTTATTTTTGATGTTCTTAGGCAGTGTATCGCGATATCTCAAATGTCGCACTAAGTGGAAATAAGGTGGCCTGGTGCAACACACTCACTTGTTTAAAAACGTCGTAAACGAGAGATTTGTAGTGGACAAGGACCAATGTATGCGTGTTCGATAGAATATACAACCAAAATACCAGCTTAGAAATAACAAACGGCAATAAGAAATGGACAAGTGAACGGAACGGACTCACTAAATTGGAGGTCCAATAATTCCACTACACGAAGTGTTGTTTTCCATTTTCGATTTAATGTAATTATTGGTACAATAAAACAAGATGTCGTGATACGTGTACAGTGTTTACAAACTGCAATTCAAGTTTATATGAAGAGAGTAGAAAATGGGGAAAATGTAACATTGATTTGCAAAAACACCACATATTCAGCTGGGTTCCATGTGGCGCTCTCGCATAAGCAACCTGGTTTGCAAATGAGTGTATGTCGCTAAAACCGTCGCAGTCCTAGGTGCTACGTTTTGTTTCCCATTATCCACGCATACCTGCTTAGTTGTCTTGCTCACAGTCCCACCACTCTCGTTTGAACGGTCGTCCTCCCCTTCTGGCGTAATTATTCTGGTGAGTCCACACCAAAGGGAAGCACTAGACTCGAGTTTTGCTCTCAGTGGCTGTGCCGGGATTCGAACCCCGGACATGTGACATGCGAGGCGAGTGTGTAACCACTACTCCACCAACGCACGTTCGACGCATCTGAATTTTCGCGTCTGAGCAGGCGAACATGTTCACACTTGAGCGATGTAATTGGTGTGCCCGACTCATCGAATGACGACCCAGTCAATCAGTCGTCACAACTGGATAATTTCATTCGTCCAATGGCATGCTGATTTTACGCTTCGTATTCAAGGTGTTTATAACAGTCAGTGTTACCCGGTCTAAGCAACTTCGTTCATGGCTGTCCATGTATGCTCAGTGTTGCGGAATTTTCCGTTGAATCGCTAAGTGGTCACGTGTTTATCTAGTCAGCACAATCCTCCTTAGCAACATGAGCATTGGCCTCAAAAAAATGAAAATTTAGAGAATGCGGTTAACTATCGACGTCCCGCGTTCTATCAACGCTCGAAAGACGAGTTTACTTGCAGTTTACCTGTAGCCACTTTACGC